CGCCCAGCAGCCAACGAATCCGCCGTGCACGCGCGGCGGGCCGGCAAGGGTCACATTAACGGAGCCTTGTCCTACATCAAAGGGTCATACAGATTGGTGTTAGTTTTTGTTTGAGTGCTCATGTAGGAGAGTCACCAAATAGCAGCCATTTCGACACGAATGGTGCGGCTGCTGTTACACACGCCGCAAAACACGTGCTGGTGGTGCTTGTAGCACCTTTGGTGTCCTGCCTTTCCCATTGATGTATCTTTGTGCATCCATGCTCAAATGGCAGTCAATGTCCGTGCTGCTGGGAACAGTCTGAAGACCTGATGCAGCAATGTCCGTGCTGCTGGGAACAGTCTGAAGAATTCCCGAACTGTCGGCGCTCAGTTTACGTACACACGGTGCCCAGAGACATAGTTTTACATAATGAGTTGAGGGGCTGTGCACTGAAAAATAACACGGCCTCCCCCCCTCCGCCGAAAACGACAACAAATGGGCTCTGTACGGATTTTGCGCACTTTCTTCTCAAAGTTGGAGGGGTGGGGGAGGTCTGGAGCCCAAATTGAGGGCTGAAGCCTCCGCTTTTCAACTGAGAAGCAACCTACGCTCTAAAATGGCCCAGTTCACTAAAAAACACTAACTTTCCGTAGTATTCCCTGTCACTGGCAGCTGCTTCAAGCACTGTTTGCTCCAAAATAGAACTTGCATAAAATGCGTGCGTTTAAAAAGGTAGCAGCACGGTGCTGCAATGGTGGAGATGTTAAGCTTATTTGGTTAAAAAACACAGCTTTCAGCACCACTTAACCAAAGAATTTGCGACCAGCATAGTCTGTCTTTGAAATATTGGTGTCCATGGTCTTCATTCGCCCCTGGCGCCCATCTTGCAGCCCGACATCCAAACTATGTTTAAGATGGTAGTTCAGACGATTTTTTAGAAAACACCCAGGAGTATTCATGATAAATCAGTGCTATTTTTACCTGATGAATCTCGTTTGCTTTTTGCGCAACGAGTTCAAACAAAACGGATTTACACCCTCAGATTTCGAAATTCTGTGGCAGCTTTTCGTCGTTTTATGTCTCAACTGACCGTCGGAGCGCTCGCCCTTTTAAAAGTTTAAACATTTGTAAATGACACTCATAGGTACATAAAATGCGATAAAACATACCTGGTGATGAAAAGCACCAGAGATGAATTAATAAGATCCATGAATGAGGACGAGGTTCTGGTTGGAAAAGCTTTGGGGATGAAAGCTCGAGCTCACTCTAGATATTTGTAAGTTTCCCCACGGTAGTGACCTGTGTGGGACGCCTGCTGCGTCACAGTCTGGTTTCGACCGGCACAGCGCGCCGGTGTCCGCCCTGGTCCCCGCTGATCGCCAATCCGGCGTCCTACCCCGGTCCCCACTGATCGTCGATCCGGCGCCCCACCCCGGCACCGCGCTGATGGTCGATCCGGCGCTCCACCCCGGTCCCCGCTGATCGCTGATCCGGCGCCCCACCCCGGCACCACGCTGGTGGTCGATCCGGCGTCCCACTCTGGCCCGTGCTGACCGCCGGTCCAGCGCCCCACCCCGAGCCGTGCTGACCGCCGATCCAGCGCCCCACCCCGGCACCACGCTGACCGCACTGTTGCTGCCGCCAGCTGCTGACGCCGGGCACGCCGAGCGCGGCGGCCACGTCGTGCTGCGAGTCGGGCCGCCCCGTGGCCACGGACCCGGTGACGGGCCAGGCCGTCTGCTCGTGCCAGTACGAACCGGGCCGGGCGGCGGCTGCCGGCGGCTACCCTCGGCTCGGCGCGCCCTGCGCGCTGCCGTACGGCGCGGCCGGCGCCGACGCCGCGCCCTACCCCAGCATCGGAGTGGACTCGTCCTACTTCCCCGCGTTCGTGAGTAGCCTGTGATGTGAGCTGGCTGGTGACAGGCAGGGTCAGAAGCCCGCCCGTCCTCGTCGGGTGTCCAGCCGGG